ACAGGTAGATTTTTTTTTTAAATTGTTTTCTGCGTGAAGAATACCAGATCAGAGAAAGGCAACCGAGTGTAAGTCCGTGTGTAAGTGCCTTTGCAGATGTATCTCCATTTTTAAACGTGTATTTTTTTATCCTAAATATCAAATACTGTACGCTGCTTTCACCTTGAAGCCAATAAGCCATTATTAATACCTTTATTATCGTCAGTTAACAACTACATCTATTGTAGCTACTGTTTTATTATGCTGTTAAAAAATCACTAATGATTAAACCATAAAACACGGCAATTAACAACAAGCCAATCGCGATGATGGAACACAAAGCCGCGAGAAGACACTGTTCAACCACAGAACGTGTCGATCGGTGCTGCTAATGGATTGTCCTCTTCTGAACCCTCCAGGCAGGTTTTGTTTGTCTTCAGGTAAAACACAAATCTTATCCCACTCGCTCAGCCATCGTTGTTCTTCACAGAACAACTCCTTTGGGGATTTGATTTGCTCCACAGAAAGCATTCAGCAGGTTTGCAGCGTGCAAAGAACGCCGATGATCTTCTCCTCGCTGTCCTCCTCCATGGATGCTTGCTCGTCAAACAGACTCTGCAGAAGTCCACGGCAGCAGCGTTGTCTTCAGTCAGTGCAGGACCGCCGGTCGTTTGCTGATTAAAGTGTGTATCTAAGTTTGTTCTTGTCTTGTTTTTTTCGTGAGGCTTTACTACATACAGTATGAGGCATTTGGTGGTAAGCTTTCGCCGCCTACAAACCAGTGTGCACATTGATGATCGAATGTAAAATACACATGATCAATCACATCATTTGATTGACCATTGTGTTGTATTGAGCAAATATAGATCTATAAATATATTTTATATTACTATAATAATCTAAAGTGTATTTTATTCTAATTGTAATTAGGAATTAGAATAAAGTTGAGTGTAAAATAACTGTTGCTGTAGCTTGCTAATATACTTTAAGGGGTTCTTAACTATGCTGGGGCTTCATCTAATACAGAGGCAGTAGAAGCTTTGCACTTTCCAGGTAGCTTGCCCAACATTGATTATTGAAAGATTGAAGCCATTGATTAGCAGTGTTTTGCAAGTTCATCAAGAAGTTGTACGTGGCTGCCTTTAGTTGACACTATATGTTGTTTCTTAAACTGCACTCTAACTTTTATTTTCAATCATTGTTCTTCATTGTCCCTTTCTTTTGCGTTACATTTTCTTTTTGTGAATTGCCTTGTTGTTGAAATGTGCCATACAAACAAACCTGCCTTGCTATGTTTAACACACCACTCCATAAAAATGAATTACATGATCACTACTTTGTCACTTGTTGTATTAATAAATTACTTAAATCTACCACAAGGAATTTGGAAATCTGACATGATCAGATTTGGCCTAAAATGAAACGGAAACAAAGGCAGCATTAGGACTAACTTTATAGAATTAGCCCATCTTCTCTCTGATGGTCTTGTTTACTACATCATACAAAGGCATCAGTATTAAAATGAGACGGTTTCACAACCACTTAAAAGTTATTTTGAATAACGAGAGTTTTTAAAAACGTAACGCGAAAACATGAAATCACCCAGAAGTTACAACCAAATAAATCAGTATGACAATAACACCCCGAGACTGAGCACATATGTGCACGGCATCCGGTGGAAATAAATAACATCATTTTCAGACCCTGAAATAAACCACTAAATCCCAAAACAATTCCCAGGCAGCAGAGAAAGCCAGTGATTGATGACCTCCGAACTCAACCCCCCTTAGCAGGACTAGTTCTTCACCGCTGACCTTGAGCAATAGAATTATTGTTTGAATGTTGGAGCTCAACAGGTCCTGCAGGCATTAAACTGTTCCTCGCCTGAGAGCGACGTGGAAGCAGGAGCGGGCATTGCACCGGGACTGGGCGGCCTGTGGACGGCCCCAGTAAGTGAAGGAGGACAATATGGCTGCAGGAAAGAAGGAAAAACGCAAACAACAGAAGAGAACATTTGATGGCAAAAAGTGAATGAGGATAAGAACGAGGAGCATATCAACAGATATCTGTACTTGTGAATAGAAAGGGAACATTGTTGTGAGGACGCAAACAGACAATAAGCACCGACCCGGAGGCCTCCCCTCGCCCTCGGACAGACGCAGAAGGTGGGCGTTCGGCTGGCTGCGGCGATCCCAGCCACGCAGCGAATAAATTCATAACACGCCGCCAAGACACCCACAACGACGTTGGTGGGCATTCCCCGCGGGGCGACAACCAAGGGGGGCCCTCACTATGTGACAACGCGCTACATTGTTACCCGTGACATCGCCATTGACTAAATACCTTTAACCGGCTATGCATTTTGTGCAGCTTCTTCCATAAGGAGATCTGCTGGTTAGCAGTTATAAACACACTGATGAGTGCAGCAGCTGACTTTAAAGGGAGATTCTGCTGTTTGGGGGAAAGATGCTGTTTTGCATTCTCCTTGTGTTGAAGTAAATGAACACAAACGGAGGAACGTAGAAGGAAATGCCAGATGATTCCCTGATGCTTAAATGAGTAATTACACAGACCCCAAAAAAAACTTTTCTCCACTGACAAAACAACTTAAACTCACCGAAACCCCCCACGCCGTCGTGGCTTTTTATCTTACGCAGTAGTTACAGATGGCTGAATGGCCTCAGCAATAAGCTTTCAGCAATATATATCTTTTTTGTAAATTTATTTCCATAATCAGTCAGCGGGGATTATGGGAGACCCGCCACTTCTTTCACGATCCTCAATCCTGCATCGGACATTAAAACCCAACTTGACGTAGCCCAAAACACACAGTAGTAAGAACAGCGTGTCTACAGCTTTCTGCCCGTGGCATCAAAGCAGTGTTTTGCAGTCAATAACACATGCCACGCAGCTGGTGAATGTTTGTAGAATGGCGCACAGCGTAATGATTGTGCCTTCTTTGCCTTCAAGTTGCCAAAGAAGCGAATAATTCCCTAACCTTCTGTCACGAGCGCCAAGTCCAATTAGCTGAGCGACACTGTGTCGCACCGATAAAGTCTCCGTGGCTCTACCATCTGTAAACAGTTAGAGAGTGAATTTCATGCGTTGTTAACGACTCCTCTTATTTTTTTATTTTTTTTATTGTTGCTTTCACATCAGCAGGAACATTTGTGAGCCGGGATTATTCTTTAGCCGTGCAAGCACCGGGACTTTAGGGATTGGCCCTGTAGGACTGAAGCGGACGCTTTCAGCCTACAGCCGTTGCCATGACAATCAATGCCCAAACCTGCATTTGAATGCATGATTTTTATTAACTTTGGCCAAAAAGTGAAAAATAGCCCATGAAATAAGGAATAGTAATAGCACTTTATTCATTGAGCATCTATTGTTTATGCATTTGCCTGCATGTGAGTTCATTTGTTATTAGACATCTTATAGCCTTTTAAGTTTCAATAAAAAGTAATACCCTAAGACGCCAATTTGTGGGTCTCTCCTCAGACAAATTGAAGTACAATATGACAACATGAATATTGACTATTCCAGTTGAACAGCACGTGTTTTCTCTGTTTGTCCCTCTGCCTTTTAGTGCGCTACCGGGGGGGCCCAAGGACGATGTCCACGATGGGGACGCGAGGAAGAGGAAGTGGCCTGACTTGGAACAGAGCCTCAGCCACCTGTCACTCAATGCCAGACAGGCCATCACAAGGCCGGTCGTCTTCACTGTTGGACAGCTCTCTCCCTCAAGCATACACAGCTTTTCAGCGGAGATCTTCCCCCGTTCATTCACTTCTACATTCTTTGCTCCTCCTCCTGCCCGTTTGTCCGCATCCCCGTCTCTCGTCCGTGACGATGCAACGCCAGGTGTCTGCTCTCTCTTCCCCTCCGTCCCTTTTCTCGCTCTCCTGCCTGATGAAGTCAGAGCGCAGCTCTGATATAAACATCCACTGCAGGCAATCCTTCGAGATCTCATTACACGGGGCTGCAGGGTAAACTGTCTTAACCAATTTCACAGCTAACCTCCCCCTAACTCCGGCTAGATACGTCAGGGTCAAGTAAGCAATTAAGGGGCCAATTGTCTAAAGACAATGCCAGTGGGACAGAAATGATGCGGCGAGTTTCCAATCAAGCATTCCAGAACAACATCCACTAATTGTTTTTGCACTGACAAACCTCTCGAGTATAACCTGAGCAATGGCAGAATTAACCCGGAGTATATCAATAATTAAAATGACAGGAAGGAATGCTGAAATGAGCATTATTATACGTGTGACAGCCCGTTATGAGACAATACAGTTTTAATTGCCTAAAAAGTGAGTGAATGGCGACAGGACTTAGAAAATGGAAAAGAAACAACGAGGGGACAGTATGTATAAATGTTAGACCTCATTAAGCTCCATGTTCCTGTGCTACTTCAACGCAAACCTATTGGCACTACGTCTCCCCATATGATTCAAACAAGAAAAAACAAGTGACACAGTAATTAAAAGTACAATTATCCCCTGTTGTTCACATAGAAAAGTAATATAACTGTGGTTAAGTCGAAAGCCGCCACCACACCTAGAAACTTTTTTATATTAAACGTTTTTGACATTAATTGGGTTATTAGGCACCATTTGTTTCCAGATTTAGTCGCTGACACAGGAAGCTGCTTTGTTTTGAAAAAGTGTTTCCAAGGAACCACTCGGAGTTATTCAATAAACCGCAAAGTCGAGAAGCATGAAAGAATATTTTAGCCGTATTTAGAGAAGGACAATGATTAGTCATGGGCAAACAAAGAAGGTTTAATTAGATTCTTTTTAAATCATGGAAGAAATCAGTGTTATTTTAATACTTTTGAGACAGACAACTCTTTGTTAGAATGCAATCAACAAATTTGCAGCTATTGTTGCCACAGAACGGACGAGCTTCCACTGGCCGCCTCGTCTCTCTCTCTCTCTCTCTCGGATACAAAAAAACGTTGATTCCAAATCATCCGTCCTTCCGGACCGTCACAATGAACGTCACAGTAGGCGACCTCTCACCGGATGTTGTGGGACTTGCGCTTGATCTCGTTCCAGCAGAGGTTCATTTCTCCTGCCTGGTGGGGGCCGCCACCTTTCAGTCTCCCGCACTCGGCGCCCTCCTCCTGGCCCTCACCGTCCGCCGTGGACTGGCACGGCACACAGTGGCATCCCGGCCACAAGGGCCGCCCCGCAGCTGGGGGAGAGAAACAGCAGGTCAGGAAGGCAACGTATTGTGCGTTTACGGATAGAGCGGGCTGATGATTAATACTTATACCAAATATGGCAAAATAAGAGCAAATGGAACTTTGGAAAACTATAATAAAGCTACTGTACAACACTCGTTTGAAAGGGAATTGACTCCTTTTTGTTGCCAAAAATGTGTCGCTTTCACATTTGAAAAAAAAAATCACACCTAATCTTCGACGAGTACTTCATTTGCATAACGGTAATTTTCTATTTGGGAGGTGAGCAGCAGGTTTAAGACAAGACTGGATCTTAACATGACTTATCTGTCTAGCCCATGGCAGGAAAATGAAAAGACTGTGCAGGGCAGAACGTCTATTTCTGATTAAAAAAAAAAAACAGGTCAGAACCGGCTGAGCAGTAAAGCAGCGGAGAGACACACACACACACAGACACACACAGACACACACACACAAGTCTGTTCAACAAATCACAGTCAAATTGAAACGCTGTGTCCTGTGTGCGAGAGAGAGAAAGCTTGAGCCACGCGACACCAGCGGTTTCGTCCCATTATTCCATTCCATTAAACCCAAGGAAACAAACACTGACAAAAAGCCTGTTTTTCACAGACTTTTGAGAGTGAGAGGGCACGTAAGGCTAGACTTGAAGAGGTGCAATCCCCTCGGGGGAGGCGGGGCGGCGGGGTATCAAGGAAGAAAACCACCCCCCCCCCCGCCCCTTTGCCCATACACATACACACACACACACACACACATCCAATAATAAGTGATAGCAGACGCTTAGGTTATGATAAAGCGCGTGTTCGGTCACTGGGCTGTCGGAGGCTTCTTGTCTTTTCTGTTCATTTCGCGACCTTTACCTCAGCAGCAGCTTGACCTCCCAGGTAACACCTTCAGGCTTGTAAAGGGGGGGGCACACACACACACACACACACACACACACACACACACACACACACACACACACACACACGCATGCACACACACACACACACACGCATGCACACACACACACACACACACACACACGCATGCACACACGTCCATAACCATTTAATGGGATGTCTTGTAGAAAAAGTAGTTATACCTCATCATTTTTTCATCTTTATTTAATCTGCAATGAGTCATTCGATTTGAATGGGGGAATTTTCTGCTCTCTTGAACTTTTATAGACTATTTATAGACTTTCTGTTCATCAGGTTATTGTTTATCATTGCTTCTATTCACATGTTAAATAATACTTTTAAATACTGCTATTTGTTTTGCTACTTGACTTGTCTATTATGCTCCTTTATTTATTCTTTAAACACTTTATTTGTGAAATCTTTTTTTTTTGGTCGAGGATCATAGTTAACTGTCCTGAGATTTCCCATCGCTGTTTTTCTGGGTGGGATCATTAAAGCGTTTGACCAACTCACTGCTTCTCTTAGCGCTTCTCTCTTGAGCTCGAGTGGTTTGTCCAAAACCGAAAAACAAGGCCGAAGTTCACCAGGAAGAAAGAACCTTTGTTGCACTGTCAACATTTGACTAACACTTTCTTTTTCTTTCCCTTATTTTCTCTTCCTCCATTGTAGTTTTTCTCCACACCCCCTCAGCTCAGATTGAGCAAATGTTTGTTTGTTTTCTTTCCTCCATTCCACATGAATCATCGCCATCTCATTCCCCTGCTCCCGTTATCTCACCGCTCCCTTCCCTTTCCTCTCTTCCTCAGACAGCTCCGGTTAGTGTAGGTGAACCTTGGATGAATCAGCACATCTCTGCCACTCTGCGCCTACCGTCTCTTTCCTGACCTCACTTGAGGACCAATACTAACTTCAAACTCATTGTTACTCAGTTTGCAGAGTCGGTTCCCCCTCGCGGCTTTTTCTTTTTTTTTAATAACATGGAAATGGCAGCACGGGTTCCACGTGACACAAGGAAGTTTAAGACACACCACATGACCCACACCAGGACGAGTCCCCGCAGCCGAGGGAGGAACATTATGCTTCAAAATGCATTCTGCAAGACACATTAAAGGCCACCGCAGCAGAGAAAGGATGTCCACCAAAATCATGTCACGCGAGTGTCTCTGTTATCTCTGTCTGGCAGGCACACATCAGCGCCAGGCCGGCGTGTGTCAGCCCAAAGTGCACGGTAGGTCTGTCTGCAGCTTTCAACCTCAAAAACATGACTCAAGCTTTAAAAATGCATTATGTGCGGCCTTGATCGGATATGGCGTTTGCTCAGTCAGGCGCATGTGCAGTGTTTTTTCAGGAGAAGCTAAAAAGAAACAGCAGAGATTTCACTCACATGCCACGATGTGACACGGACAATATTAATCTTGCCGCTACAACTCTATCCTGCTTGCAGTCTTGACTGTTTCCCACAGAAATCATAGCTTAGCAATTAAAAAAATAATAATTGCAATCCAGAAGGACATTTTCTAGACAACACGTGAATTTTCAAATCAAAAGGAGCGGAGGGCGATGAAAGATCGCTGGATCTCAGAGCGAAAGAGAAAAAACTAGTTCAAGCTGTGCAGATAAAGCATCAGAGGATCAAAGCCGCCACACCGTGTCTACACGTTGATATTAATCTGGAAGGAATCAAGGCCGTGGCAGAGATTTCCCCGTGAAGCGAAGCGATATCTAGGACTTACTCTCATTAGCTCTGCAGATGAATGCAGCTCAGTGTGCAGCGCCTACCTTGAAAGTCAAGCCTTGTTGCGTCGTTAACCACAAGTCTCAGGCGCTGTTGAACCTACTGACGGTATTTTACCTCGTCTGTCGACTGGCTTGCTGGAGAGTCAAGCGATGCGTTGCTGGCACGCAGCGATGTATGGGACAACAAACAGCGAGAGGGCCAGGCATCCGACAGATGGGCGACCCGATAGGCAAAAAACGCCTCTATTGGTCAAAGACTTCTCTGTCCTTGCAGATTCCTGATCACACCTACATGTCCCCCCCCCCCATCCCATCCGCCACCCTCCCCTGCCCATTCCTCAAGACTGAGCCATCTGCCCGATGTCCTTTTCGACCCACGCTCACCCTCCTACAAGCTGCACTGACTGGTTCCAGTACGTTACCACGGCACATGCCATTGATAGCAAGGAGCGTTTCTCTGCTGGGATTGATTAGCCGGGCTCGCCGGTGACGACTCTCATGTACTTCGGCCTTTAACCTTCTCTGTAGCGCGACAAAAAACGGCTGGATTAATTGGCATGAGTTTAGAGCACAGAATATTCTAAAAGTTTTCATAGATTTAAAAAAAAGGAATCCATTCATTCTAATTATTTTTGTGTTATTCAGACTCACCATCTGTCCAAGAATACCGAAAAATACCTGTAAAACTAACGACTCTCTAATTAACTTTCGTAATAATAGATTTAAAACAGACTAAAACATGAAGATTACACCTGTCGAATATATGACCATGTCAGCATCGCCTTTGAGAACATGTTGGCTGAAACTATGATTTCAAAGCACCTTTGTGGCTAAAAATAACCTCAAAGAGCTGCTTACATGACTGTGTGTGTCACAAGTTTACTTATTCATGCATTCAACAAAGACTGCTCGAAGGATTTATCATCTCTTTTACAAGAAAGATGTCATTTGTAATTCAGCATTTAAATGACCAATATGAAGCAGCGTTTCTAAATCAAGCTTTTCTTGAGTTTGGAGCAGACTGGGGACATGTATATTATTATCATATTAACCATGGAGACCTTTCTTTCCCAACCCTTTTGGCTCATGGCTCCCTCACTCAAAGTAACGTGTGCTTGCAAGCCCTGTTCACAGGTAATGGCTTTCCTTGAGGTAGGAAGAATTCAGGGGTCTGTTTTTTTTCTCCATTTTTCACATTGTTTCATTTGAAAGATCTGTGGAGGCTTTACAAAGTGGGAAAAAAAAAGAAAAGCATGACCAGAAATATGTAATTTGTGCAACAGAAATCCCCTTTTCTTTCTTTCCTTAAATTAAATTAGATTTCTCTCCAATTTACCCGCTTCAGGGGTTCTAAATGACAGCTTATTCCTTTTCTACTTCCTGACTACAGCTGTGAAACACGTCTTTTCATTGATTCACTCATCGTTCAGGGAATTTAAATAAATATAGATAGTAAAATGTAACTAATTGCAAACACATCCTTCTGTCAGTGAGCTTAAGCCAGCAACGATTTGGAAATACTTTTACACCCACAAATACAAACACACAACAAGAACAGAAGTGATAAAGCCCATTATGCTTAGTCCAAAAGAACTGGCAGGCGCCGATACGGACGCCCAAAACTTTGCAACTGGGCTTCACTGAATGCGGTGAGCGCTGATATAACTTCGACAGTTAAATCCCCAGCCAACAATGACTCAGAATATCAGTGTCCAGGAGGCCTGCTGGTAAATATAGTCAGGCAACTGTACTCGTGAATTTCTGTGTGTACGTGTGACTGTGTGTGTGTGTGTGTGTGTGTGTGTGTGTGTGTGTGTGTGTGTGTGTGTGTGTGTGTGTGTGTGTGTGTGTGTGTGTGTGTGTGTGTGTGTGTCTCCTTGTGTTCACTTGTGCCCTGGCTCTTGGCTGTGTGCCTGATGGGGGTTAGTGGAGGTTGGACCACTGGCTCCCTGGTGCCCTGTCCTGCTGTCCCAGAGCCCCTCAACAGCCACCAGTTAGAAAAGGGAACGGGGAAAACACGCTCACACACAAACACACACACACACACACACACACACACACACACACACACACACACACAAACACCCTCCAGCTCTCGGTCCCCTTTTCTGCTGCTGATGCAGGATGAGCGAGCCGAGCTCCCCCCTCACAGCTGCAACCGTCACACACTGCTGGAGGGACTGGAGAGGCTCCAATGACACAGCACACACACACACACACACACACACACACACACACATATTCACAGAGCAATTCTTCAATAGCCTCCATTAAATAGCAGTAAGAAAGACTACATCAGCTACGCCCTCCACACCTAAGCTGGGAGCTGTCAAACTGTTGCTATTCCC